GGTCACGCAAAAGGCATATTGCGATTGATCAGCGTCTATCGACTGGTTGGACTGATACAACAAAAAATTACCTGCTGCAATAACTTTTCTTTCTCCTCGATTTCCTCTTCTGGTAACGGTTCAGCCTCATCAATTCTCTTCTGTTCCTCTTTACGGGCGACAGCAGCATTGGGCAACTCAGGATTCAATGGAACCTAACACACAAAAACAATTTAGTGTATGTAATCTAACATATTACTGCAACACAATATAGCATCTACCAAAATGTTGTGTGTAACCAGTGACTATACACTGTAATACTACCGAAATTTAACAGCCAATTTCTTACTACACAAAGTTAAATGATTCAGTAGAAATACAAATAATACATGCTATTCACCTTGTATCCAATGCCTTTCCTGTAAAACAAGATTTCTTTGTCCAACAATTCAAAGAGCCTTGGTGGAAAAAACTGGAAATCTTGAACATTTGGTTGCTTTGGTGGTCGAGGTGCCTGAAATTCATAGCATTATAAAAGTCAGTGATACCAGATAATGTACTCCTTATAGGCATGAAACACAAAATCCAGTGTTAGATATTCATATTACTCCATTTCATATTATCATCTGAGAATATAGTATGAATTTTTAATACTATGCCTAGATTCCTCCAAAAGAACACCCTTCAAAATAGTTAAATATTCTGAAATTCAGTCAATCTGAAGCATTTTTAGAAAAGTTCAATCCCTAAACCCACTACCCTTAACCCTATACATAGGAAATCAGAGATCAGACAGCCAACCCCAACCTCTCAGTGTAGATTTTAGGAAACGCTTACCTTGGGTGCTTTGGGTTCACTAACACGAAGGGCTTCTCTGAAGTAGGCATCCACGGCATAGTTAGCTTTGCGTTCTCTTTTAGGAGGTTCAATCCAGTGACCAATACCAGTTTGCTGAAAATGCAAAACAACAATCATTATTTTCTATTAATCATGCGAGTATGTACATCCCCACAACAAACCAAAGGTTATACACACCTACCAATAACATCAACAAATTCATATTTATTCAGATTGTGTTCAAAACTAAATATTCATTAACAAGCACTTTTATTAACTCATTCCATTTTAAAGAAAAGGATTAAAACTTGCCAGTAATACAAAGCATATCATTTCAGTTTTCAGTACCGAGATTGATCATTTGTCAGGAGACTAGAGCTATCAGAAAATCTTAGAAATACTTCAGTATTTTTATTTTACATATTGATAATAAAGTTTTAGTTGTTACCTTCTGTTTCCCTTTGTAGTCCTCGCCTTCAAAATGGAATATGCTCTCCGGTTGATTCTCAAGACTAAAGTTCCTCAGCTGACTCTCACCAAACTGACTCAATTTCTTCTGTATTTCTTCGGTCTACAGAAAAAACAACAACAACATTATCACCCTATGTCACAATAGAAAAATAGAAACCAGAGCAAAACCATAGTAAGCTGTCAACAATTTGTTGGACTTTATCCAGGGGTAAGAGCCCATGCCCAGGCAAATGCCCACCCCCACTTTTGATACAATAAAGAAACCAGGTCATGTCCTGGTATTTTTCTGCACTTGTAATAAAAAAATAACAAAAACCTATTTTTTTTCGTGGTATCAAGAGTTGAATTCCTTGCAGTCTATTGTGATTCTGATAAAAATTCTTGAAAAATAATTGTCAAAATTCATGAACGAGGGGTGAACGCAT